TGTTATACTTGCGTTGAATAAATTTACGAGGATAAACCATTCATCCGTCCTTTAGGTAGGGCTACGATATCAGTTCATTTTAACTTTTTTCACAGAAAATAAAGCGGTACACTGTTCAATTCAACCTGTTTATTTGACGACAATCAATAATAATACCCACGCAAAAATATGCACACATACGGCGGAATTTGCTTAGTTATTCATTTTTCCCATAAAATTCCCAGTAGAATGTATGTTTAACTGGGCCATGATCTCGATTCGATTAATGAACACGTGCATAAATAATATGATACGCGACTTTGTTGTGTAATTAGGAAGTGCACTGGCTGTAATTTTGCTGCATAACCTCACTCGTTTTGATAAGTTCATCTTGCACCTAAATTTCAACCTAAGTGCCACCTAAGTCATCATTAAATGTCATATAGCACTTTTTTATAATTAAAACATACGTAAAAATTATTTATATTCATCGGAAGTATCCTAGCTGTTTTATGATTTTCAGTATTTAATATTAATATTATTTTCGTGTCTTGTGTGTCCTATATGGTTTCAAAAAAAAGCGTCTTTATATGATCTCGTTTGTTACAAAATATGTGTACGTAGTAGTTGGTATCTTCTGTTTGTCCAAATTTTGTACACATAATTGCTGGTGTTTCTAATTCATTGACTATATACAATTATTTCTGTGATATACGTATTCGTGTAGTCGTATCCCAAGAGACCATTAATCGTTTTATTTTTTTTTCTACTCATAATATTAAGATTCCTCAGGTTAGGTTAGATATAAGTCATTTTCGTTACTAATTTAGTTGACCCAGTATGTATGGTTAATATTTAATTGATTTTCACTGAATTTAACAGCAATAATTGCCATCGATATTGAAACTTCATTTTGAACATGGTTTCAGTTTAATTACAACATACTTAATAAAATAAATACTATAAAATAATAATATACTGAAGTAATATAATATAATGTTAATGTAATCTAGACATATGTACGGCTATCACGTAGGTTTATATGCGAATATAATACAATATTTTGTATATCATTAGGAAATATTACATTAGGATTTTGGACGACCGTGCCGTTACTATTTATTACAAATATAAAATATTAGTATTAATAATAAATTATAGGATGTATTAAAACTAACAATTCTATTTATGCAGTACGTTTCGTCGGTGTTTGGCGTGTTAAAATTATACATACATATGCACAACACCTATAACATATTATACTTTATACCTCATTCCTTTGTACACATCGCTTTTTCACCCCTTTCCTACATTAGACGTTTGTCTTTTATGGGTATCGAACCGAATCCAAATTATTGTTGTTACTCGTTTCCACAAAATACAAGGTGAATACGAGTGATGCGTTTCAAGTTGTTTTTTCTATTATTGTCACAAGTGGCGTCATCTCCGCACAAGAAAGCCGTTTTGCGATTAAAATAAAAGTGTTATGTTTTATATATATATAATATATTGTACAAGTCGGATATCACCTGGAGACGCGCAAACACATCGAAAACGTCGCAATATTTTTATTTATTTTCTCTAACGTAAATGTTTATAGTCTGAAAACAATGGATTTTCCGTCGACAAAACTAATAACGATTTCTTTCACGCGTTAAAAAACACTAAACAGTATTATATAATATAATATATATATAACGTTCAACACGATAAGTACTCGACGGCTGAATTTAAAAACATATGAAAAGTGTTTTCATGTCTCACCTCTACACAATTTAAATTCAATTTTATAGGTGCGTAGAACTTAAACAAAACAACAAATGAATACATAACAAATTATCGTATTTTTTTTTAAGAATATTTGTCCACGTAGGTACCTCCACGAAAATTTTTACATAAATTTATTTCAATAGGTTTAGTAATTTTATGTTCACAATGTTATATATTGTTTAAAACTCGTTTTTTGACAATCTGTTTCAAGAAATGATGTTAAGATTTTCATTATACAACCCATTTGGCGTATTGAAACAAGTTTAATAAAAAAAAGAAATTAAAATATTTAAGAGTTATAATTCCGGTTCAGTTGTATTAATTTGGGAATTTTACCCGGTCATCAATATTTATATTTTTATTTTATTAAAAATTTTGTATTTTAATTTTTAGCTATTAAATACATACAAATAATAACTATTTAACACCGTTAAATATTTTTATATTTATACGTCGTATTACCTCTGTAGTGTCTCAATAAAAACAAAAGATGTTAATCTCTAACTCTTGACCAACGACAACTTGATTCAAATAATACACTAGAATAGATAACACTACGTACTAAATTATATTACATAATATACATCATTAATTCTGATAAAAGTATTAAGCCAGGTTTTTTCCTACATAGCCAAAATTGGTATTATTATGGTATATTACTATGTATTCTCATTTGGTGTTAATACTGAAGTGCACGCCCATATTGTGTTTGTAAAAGCAAAAATTCCATATGACATCGATTAAAATAACTTTCTTTTTTTTCTGTACACGTCAGTGGTAGGTAGTTTATTGAGAAAAGAAATTAAGATCTGTAATCTGGCCAAAATCCCCAATGGCCTTACTATGAACCGGTGTTTGAACTTCGGATCCGCTATTATATTTTATTCGTTAATAAAATATATTACAAATTACAATATGAATACAAAATAATAGATCAGAAGTACACAGTATATGGACGATATTAAAACAAACCTATTTTTAAAGCTAGTTACAGTTTTCGTTAAAGTGACATGTTATTAAAGGGAAAACATACACAATTTATGTGTTCAGAATATCGCCAAAAACGTAGTATCATAAATAAAATATGGTTTTAAACGTCGATATATTTTATGGATTTTTATCAACATCAAAATGACATTTGCAATGATTGATTTCATTTGGGGTTGGACTAGCTTATTATTTATAAATAAATACAAGTACTGTGAATAACCTATCTATCATTCTTAGGAAATTGGTTAATAAAGATTTTTCTGTTTTTAAATTGTCAAAAAGCATAGTTCATTAATGTTTTATTCGATTATATTTTAGATTACTTATGACATAAGAAAATTATTTATTTATACTCATGAGTATGTGGATAACTGTAGATTCGATTTTTAGTCTTTTAAATCATAATTCAATTTGAATTGTATATTTTATTTTTATTATAACATGTTTAGGTACCTTTATTTTTTATTATTGACGGAAATAGTTAATAATTCCTATAAACCTAAAATCCATTTATAAATATATAATTATTTTCATCTACCAAATTTAACCTATGTATATAATACAAATTACAAATAACGTTAATCCAACAAATTACAACAATCTGCGTAGTCTTATATTTAAACGTAAACAATATTTGTGATAATATTAAAAATGTGGTAAATTTTTACAAAAAAAAAAATAGTAAAGAAATAAAAAACCTCTAAGAATATAATAAATTTTAAAAAATACTAAACTCAATTCTAATTTTAATTAACGACTAATAGTTAGAAAACAATAATAAATATTTGTATTAAAAACTGAATCTAACCCAGTTTAACATCTTTATAATAACACATAGTCATATAGATAAGTTGTAGAAATTAAATATTTTTATCATTGTCAGAGCATTTACTCTGAGACTTTAAAATTAAAATAAATATAAATTTATAAATATCTAATGTATAGTATCATAAATGTGCGAAATCTATATGAAACCTATTAAAATAAACAGAAAATACATTAAAAGTTTTTTTATGAACATTGTTTTAATTTTATTCATGAATATGAAAAGTATCAAATAAAAGTTTTTGAGTTTTTAAACTTTTTGTATGTGTAATAGTTTGAGTAAAAATTTTTAAAATATAAGCTAAATTGAAAACTACTTGTGTTAGTGACTATTATATGTATAATGTATAATGATCTTTAAATTATAAGGTACACCATTAACATTGACAAAATTACAATAACTTCCCATCAACATTTTTTTTTTTTTTTTGTATAGTCTAAAGTCTAAACGATTAATAAAAACATATACTTAATAATTACCAACTACGTGATACACATCACTAAAATATTTTTTAAGCTTATTAATCGTTAAAAAAAAGATAATTTTTGCACAAGTTAACAACACTATAATTTAGAATATCAATGAAAAAAATGTCTATTAAATATAAAATTAGACCGAGAAAAGAGTTCATATAAAAAATAAATGTAATTTTCAATAAAAAAAAAAACATAATAGTTTACTCTTTTATAAAATAAATATAAAACAATATTACCTACTTGATATCGTAGATTAGTTTCATAGACTCATATTTTCAGAGAATTATTTCATTCATAAATATATAAAACATATTTATAATTTACTCAACTACTTTTTGATTTTATATAATATATATATATATAATATATATTATATAATCTCGCTTTAAAATATCTTCTACTATCGCAAAAATGTTAAATAAACATAAATAAATATTTATTACCCTCAGAAAATAAGATATGACTAAACATCTGTAATGTATTAATCGTTATTTTAAGATCATTTACAATCATTCAAAATATATAGGTGTATATTAGCAGATGATAATAAAACATTCTCATTAATAATTTAATATATTAAACATGTAAATATTATAAATTCTATATTTTAAGTAATAACATAGAATCTTACTTTTAGATTATCGTGTAACTCATATCTATACGTATATCAGTATATGTATTACTTAAAAATGTTTGCTAATATTGTCTCTGAAATACTGTTATTTTTATACAATATGAATTCAATAGAATACATTTGGTTAAATGTTCATAGTACTACTTAGTCAATACCTATATGCTACAGTACAAGGTAAATTAGTACTGCATATTTTATACTATAATTCTCAGTTTATTGTAATAAAATTAATTATTATATTATTATTAATTGACAGTGCTTTAATGTTATTTTTATAATTATAAAGTAATAGATAGATCTTAATATTTTTTATTTTATTTTGCAGATAAAAATTAACTGAAATAAAAATGAAATCCATCGCAGCCGTGATCTGTACACTTCTTCTAGTCTCTACAATAATATCAGCTGCTCCATCTTACATGGACTACGAGAGTGAGTACACAAAGATTCCCGATATTATTATATTAACAAAAAAAAAAAAAAACAAACAAACAATTTACAATGTTTTTTATATTGAAGAATTCGTATAATAGCATGTTATTACATTTTATCTTGAATTCTTTAGATAATTTTAACTAATATAAGAAAATTGTAAACAATGAATGAATAATATAATATGCTTTGTTTTTTGTGAACGAATACATTTTATAAGAGAATTTAATAAAATAAAGTTAAAGCTGAAAATCACATCTAACCAACCAAAAATCTCACTGATATAATACTATATATTATTATATTTAAAATAATATAGTTATCTGTATACAATAATTTATAATAATAATAAAATACACGATTACATTAATAGCACCTCCAATTGCTGTTGTTAGTTTTGGACTTAGTTAGGTACTCTCTAAATACTAGTTTGTTTAAAGTATCTTATTTGGGTTCTAGGGATGGTTTTAAAGACATTTGATTATTATAATGATGTAGTAAAATAGTCTTGAGTTAATATTTAATTTTTTTTCATTCCGATATGCTTATTCTTTTACGAGTAAGTATTTAGAATAACTATAAGGTATTTTAAGGATTGATTTGTTGTAATATTTGATTAATGAATTTAAGATTAGAAAAAATACAAAATCAAAATTTCACGTATAAAAGAAAATAAACAAGGAATAATAAATAACTATTAATTACTAAGTTTTAAAAAATTCTTATTTAATATTAACTAATATTTATTTATTTATTTTTATTTTTAACAGTCAAAGTACAAATTGAATTTTAATTTTTATGTAACAATGGTATACAACGGTTTTTAATACAAATTCCTTAATTCAATTATTTGGTTAACACAAATGTGTGCCTGATTGACTAACTATAACAGCGCTCAATGAGAAAGAATAGTGTAGGATATATTTTTAACAAAATATTTAGTTACTATGAAAAAAAAAAAATAATAAGTTAGATATTCACTACACTAGACGTGGCTCAGTGCTCGGGTAGTACAGGTAGAAAAAAAAACTTCTCAAGTTAAATTAAAATTCTTTCTATACTAACTTTAATTTTTTAGAGATAAATTTAATATTTTTTTGTTAACTTTTAACTTATAAGTTATTACTTGTCATGCTTTAATTAACTATTTAAAATTATTTTTTTTATTTACTTGACCTCCTTTAATTTATAATAACATTACCAAAATGTTTCTTATGTAGAAGCGCTATATATATTATTATATTTGATAAGTAGTGTAATTTCTAATTTACTTAATCTTGAACTTTGTAGGAATATAATTATCTTTATTTTATCAAAATATGATTCAAACATATAAACAGTAAAAAAAATTAAAACGAAAATATTATAACTTTTATCTGTTATTAGAAATAATTTGAATTTAAATTCATATGCTATTACAAACTAAGCGTATTTTATGTTAATTATAAAATATAACAAAATTATTAAATTCAGGCTTCCGTATTCTCTGTTTATACCCGAAAATACGTTAAAATATTAAATGAAGTAATAACAACTGTTATAACTTGACAACAATTATCAAAAAATACGAATTTTCTTCAAATAATTTTAAAAACTTTTGTGAAATAATTATTTACAAAATAAATAAATAAATTTTTAACTAAGTGATTTAATATTAATAAGCATCAGAGTAAGCAATTGAAACATATATCTTGTATTTTAATTTTCTTTTTTTTCTTTTTTCTTATTTTGCTATTTTGGCCTTGATCTGAATATATTGGTTTATTATATTAATCTTCGAATAATTTGTACAGGTTTATTGTTATCTACAATTTCGCTGGGAGTGCAACGCATCAGAGCACTTTATATTCAAAATGATATAGATAGATACTTTTGTTTTCTGTCGAATATAAACAATATATTTTCTCCACTAAACCAACGACTTACGCGTACAAATAAACCACTACGTCACGTTCACCGTATGATTATACTAATACAAATAATTACATATTATACGGCTATAGAAGAACGTCGCTTGATAAAAATAATAATATTGTAACGAGAGTACAACGAAATAAACACAGAGGCAACGATGTCACGACGACGCATTTCATGATAATAATATACGAATATAATATTACATTATAAACGCATAAATCAAAATAAACAACATTTTCTATTCACCAGGGTCAATTTCCACCGGTAATTGGTATACATATAAATAGCGAACCCATACTAAAATGTGATACCTTGGTTTAATCTTTGTAAGCATATTTTATAATCATAATATTACACCATTTAATAAAATTAAATTTTAATAGATTAGTCACACTAGAAAAATACTTGAAAAAATCTCTTAAGACTAAAATTAAAATTTATAATCTCTTAGGTTTCGACAGGTTTAACACGTATGGATTTATAAAATTTAATTTTGGGACTCCTCCGAAAAAACTAACACATAAAAATTCCCAATAAAACAACTCTAGACACATTATTTATTAATGTTTTTCTTTACGTTTCAAAACGTACCTTCCGTATTGATCATTACGTTCCAAAGTTGTTGAAATATCCAAACTACATTATAACTAACACAGAAGTTACCATTAACAACATACTCACCCCCACATTTAAAACCTATTGACTCTATCTCTATCTTAGGAAATATTTTCAGATGGCTTAATTGGGATGACTTTGTGACTTTTTTTGAATTTAATTAATAAAACACAAATGTTATAATTTATTTCTCATTAAATAAATCCGAAGTGCCGTCGCCTAAACGATTTTTCTTACGCTTTTACAGTATCCATGTTATTTATTGTACATTTTGTACCATATGTATAGATATATTTAAAATATTAAAATTATCTAAATTAAAAAAAATAATATAATAAAACATTATAAATGTAACAAATACCAACCATTGTGTTTCAGATGCCAAAGATCTGTATGAACTTTTGTTGCAAAGGGATCTAATAGATTCCATGGGAAACTCTTTGATCGATCCCAATCAACATCGCATGGTTCGCAAAAACCAGAGATCTCCATCACTGAGGTTAAGGTTCGGACGCCGAAGTGATCCTGCGCTTTATCAGGTGAATTTAATTATATTTGTATAAAAGTTACTATAGATAAATCATGTGAAAAATTAGGTCACGTTATTTTTTTTCTAACATAATTTTATTATTATTAGTTAGGCATAATATTATAATATTTATAACATTATTATGATCGTTGAGACACCATTTAAAGCCGGTAATATTAAAAAATTTGAATATACTATAATTGACTGTGTTCTAGACTTAATATTTCAATAGGCGTAAGTATTGGATTTTACGATTTTTTCTATTATCTAAAAGTCGATACAACTATATTATCTCGTAAAAATTAATGTGATATTATGTAGTAGGTTGATTGCTAATATACATTTTTTGACATCACTAAAAAAGAAATAAAAATCGTATAGCTAATATTTATTAGCAATGTAATTAGAAAATTATTTGTTCGTTATATTTATAAATTTTTAGTAAGCATTTTGAATGGTTCTTACTCTATATCCAAAAGGATAATATTTAATTAAAGAAAACTTGTGGAACTAATACTGTTTGAATAAACAGAAAATAAAATGATAATTGAATTATTTTAACGAAACTTTAATTTGTAATGTGTTAATCTCAATAAAGTAATTAACTTGAGTAGAATTAAGTTTTCTGTTTAACGTTAAAGTATTAAACTTATAATAAGATTTGAAAAGATTTTTCTTAAAGCTTTTAACTGGAAATTATATCCATGGATTAAAACTATTAAAATTTTAATTGATAGTTACATTATTAATAATAATTTATTATATGATTAAATATATAAATATGTTATTTTAGAGAAAAAAAAATAGCCGAGTGGGTACCATTTTGCTATATATTTAGTTTCAAGTAGATCACTATTTTCAGTAGTGTAGAATTTTAATTCAATAATTTATTATCATTGTACACAAAAAACGATTCCGAAAATAAACAATCTCTTAGCTTTTATTGCTAAGTATTTATTTTCTTAATATGTGTTTTTGATGTAGCTATTTTAGTCATTAGTCATTAATTAAAACAATTAATGATTTTCTATGAATAATAATAAAATTTAGATAACTTATTTATAAAAAAAATATATTATTAAGTTGCACCCTCATATTTTTAAATATTAAAATAAATTATATTCATACAAGTGCTGCAAGTAGGTACTAGTGAAACAGTATATGCATAAATATGATTTCTGTATTTGTTTTTGTACAACTTTATTGAAAACAATGTGAATAAGTTCATTGTAAATATAGATAAATAATGTTTTAAAATTAATCTACACATATTTTATACATATTTTTAAATTTAATTTCATGTAATAATGTAATTGAAAGTTTTAAGGTAACTATAATAAAAAATCAGTTACTCATATTTTAATAATAATATTGAATTTACAAAAAAGTTCCCATATTCCTAATTTTTTTTTTTAATTTTGACTTCTTTAAAGTACAAAAAAGATCCAATTTTTTATATAAAACCACCTTCTAAGGTGTACGTATCGTATACATAGACGCGCACAAAAAAAAAAAAAAAACACTCATCTTTATAAAATCAATACATTCATTGCTCAAAATAAAATCTAATAATCACAAAATATTACTCAGCTTTAATAAGTTTTATTTTAAAATATAAATTTATACTTATTTTAATGGTGGTATAACACTATAATCTTGAATCTTGACCAACTATTATACAACCCTGAGTATATCATACATATTTTTAATTTATATTTCGTCACAAGTATTTGATTTAATAGATTACTTTCCGTTTTAATAAATTAAATGTATAGTGTCTAAAATAATGGTTTAATGTATGTGCTCTATTTTATTTTTCCGGTGATTGATGAAATTATGGTAATAATAAGTAATAACAAAAACAATAATACTATTATTTGATGTTACTTAATAATTATTACCATATAAACAATGTATTTTATTGTTTCCAGCACTATTAAAAGTAAATGGTCGTATTATATTTTAAAGTTACCTAATTTTTTCCGAATAAACATCATACGAATAACAGATGTAATATTTTATTATTACATTACAACAATCAAAGTAAGGGTTTTTTTTTTTTAAATAAATGCATTTTTATTTTTTATATGTATTATAGTTTAGTTTTATTGGTAAAATAAACCTTGTGATTTTAAATCATCTTTATTAATAATTCAATTAATATAATTTTGTATATGTTATTGTATTACTACATACATATAATGTATACTATTTCAGATTTAGTTTTCACCGTTAATTAAATATTATGTTTCACTCAACTTCCTTTACTTATTTTATCATAACTGTTTAAAATAAAATAAAGTTATATAAGTACTTGTATAGCGTCAGTTATAAAAATTGTTTGTTATTAAAACTAATGGTTTTTTATAAAAAAAATTTACTATATATCTATGCCTGAATACAATAGTTCAACATTTTAAGCGATATAGGTGTAATTCAATTGAAGTAACATGTGGGTTTCTAAAAATGTAATATATTATATTATTTCATTATTGCACTAATCACAGTCTTAACCTTTCTCATTTGATACGCAGAACAGTTTTCTCGATTTATCCATAATAGCTCGATTAATTTTCTATAGTTCGTATAATTTGTCATTTGTTAGGGAGTAAAGAGGTTCTTGGTATATTTGACTGTTAACATTCAAAGGGTTATTATTATTACTTTTTTAAAAATTTTTAACAGTGCGCAATATTGTTATAGTTATTAATATTTCTGAGAAATCATAACAATTATTATGATCACAGTATTATTATTTTAGAGTACTGCGTATTAAATATGAAGTATCTTATAGTACAACTAAATGTTTTAATCGTGTATTTTGTTTATAAGCTGTAACAAACCTGTGGAAAGGGAATTTCAATAAAGAAACTGGAATCGTTATCAAAATCATAACCTCGTAAAGTATACAAACTCGATTTAAATCTTACTTGACTGTTGATTTTGCATACAAGCCGGTATAAGAACAAAACACGAACGATGTTACAGCATTTAAAGCTTAATGGAAATAATAAAATTAGAATCTTGGAAATATTTAAATTCGAATAAAAAAAATAATAGCAATATTAATAATAATGTTCTTTGAAACTTGTATATTAATTTTGTTACATTCTGTTATTTGTAATTATTAATAATATTCCTATGGAGCATCTGGAGAATTCATTCAAAATAACAACTTGATAAATGCGCTTTTGTAACTGATTTTCCATTATTGGAGAGTTAACTCTTCAAGAAATTCACATTCAGAGCCTAAGGGATGTCGAATTATGGTTATACGCAATTAGTTTTGACAATCTAAAATCCTATTTGGATTATTAAGGGTATTAAATTGACTATTTGAATAATATACTAATAAACAATTATTGTTATTTCTGAATAATTTGATTTATTTTTAAACATTGAAACTTGCTTTTTATGATTTGATCTGATCCTATCGGAAAGTGGGTATAACAATACAAATATAATGGATATAGCTGGTATAATACTTATGTTTATAGAAATTAATCATTATATAAAACAAGTATGCAAAAATATATTACCATTACGATCGTACATCAAAAATATTTATTTTAACAAGCTGCAACTTTTGAGAAAAAATCGACAAAAATTTCGAGAAGATAATTTTACGAACAAAATACTGCGTATTCCAGTGAAGCTGATTTGTCCTTTTTAACAATTAGACGTGGTAAAATGTATCAATAAACCCTTCAATATTTTTATTGCCAAGCACTTTTAATTTATAGTACATTTCAAGTCAAGTATTTTATTTATATTTCTTTTTAACATTTTCTATGAATTTCTTAAACTAATTATAATTTGCAAAAACAAAAAAAAAAAAAATAATTAATTTGTATTTTTATACCTAAACTATGGGTCATCTTCTTTTATGAACTTATGTACACCTACACCATTATGCACTCGAGTCAGTATTATAGTAATATGATAATATAACGTTCAAGTTTCACTTAGAACTTTACTGACAAAGGCTCGCAGCTTTTCATAGTATTTGAGCATCCTCAAACATTTTCACTCATGTATTGTGATCCTAGGTCAAAGAGTAAATATTTCCTAAAATACTTTAACTATCTTATAATAAAAATGCTCACATACAGTGGTGAATCTAAATTTGCAACTAAAAATATGTTTTCTGTATAAGTTATATTATAAAATATTTATCAGGAAAAATATTAAATCATTCGACATGGATTATAGGAAAAGAGGTAAATCGACTTATGATAATTAAATAATTCTAAACTCCTCAAGACAAATAAATTTATCCACGGACAGTGGTGATGCAGATATGTTTAAGAATATCATCGTATATCAATGAGATGGGTGGTTATAATTCAGTTTATCAGAACATCGGTTGTAATCGGTGTTATTCAGTTTTGTCGTAGAATTAGCAGCTATTATGTAGGATTGTGTATGGTTAACGTGCACAAATACATATATTCTCGTCACCAAACGGTCTTCCGGCAATGGTCAATGGTCATATATATAACATAATAATACACTTACAAGAATATAATGTACCGAAGAGAAAAATCTCATTACAGGGATACTGGTATAATAGATATAGGCACCGGTGTCCATAATATTATATAACGTATAAAATTGGATACGTTGTAAACGCGTAGTCTTAAGCCGGTCGTTCGTCATATATGAAAACAACGACGTTGTGATATAGTCGGGAAAATCGTTTTTCCACTTGAAATGAACGATACACAATAATATAATAAATAACATATAAATACTATATACGTTCTAATGTGGACGCACGTACAAATTGTAATAATATAGCTTATACGTGTAATAATACACGTATAAGTTGTATTAAACGAACCGTATTGAAATATGGTGAACCACCATTCGTGTATAAAAAAAAAAACAGACAGACGCACACACACACATATAGTTATCAAGAAGCGTAGATGTGCGTAAAATAATTCGTTTTGTGTGTGTGTGTGTATTATCACAGGCACACGATATCGAGTGCACTAAAATCTAGCC